CCCCCCCCCCCCCCCCTTACCTCAGAGAGATAATAAATCTTCCCAAAAAGAGCTTGCACAGCAAGTTTTCTCTTCAAACCCTTCTCAGAATAGCCTGATATATCCATAACCACTGGACCTGAAAGTTGAGAGACACTTGTTTTCAGTAAATAAACTGTTGCAGAGATTAAAAAAAAGGTTAGCCATGACAAATTTTTAGCAGATTATGTCCACTATAAGTGCTTATATGGGTGGGGGGATAACATATGAAGAAAACAATTCGAGACCATGCTACAGAGTTCTTTCAACTGAATGCTGAAATAAGTAACAAATGATGTCAACATTGAGTTGCTTGTTGAGCTGATTTTAAACCAAACCTAGAAAATCATTCAGATTGCAATGAAATCTTTTTTGGCTTTAGGTCCTTAAAGTAGTTGATGTCCATGCAGTTTTGACCAGTGGAAAGAACAATAGATCATTGGAATGTATAGGCTTTCAATCAAGAAGTCCAACCATAACCCACAAGCTAACTTCATTGGCTATATAAAAACATGAGTTTCTTCAAGGTCAATGAGGCAGAATATTTTTGCTACTTCTTCTCCTTTGGTGTGTGTGCCTCTGCGTTTGTGTGTGCGGGTGTGTAATCAGACCTTTCGTTTTGACAAGTGTAGATCAGACCTTATACTGTAAAAAAGAACATACAACAGATACTCAAGGAGAGAGAGAGAATCAAGGGTTGAAACAAATTCAGTAAAAGCAACACCTTTGTCTTGAACAATTCGACGTGAAATTTCGTTCAGTACTACAGCTACTTCAGAATCAGTCAGCATTGATGCTTTCCTCAACTGAATTAAATCTGCTACTAAATCCGGGCTAAATGGCTTCTCATTCAAGGAGTACCGAATATATTTTCGGAAAATCTCCTCCATATCAAAACCTACCTGCATTACATGGTTTAATTCAAGACTCTATAATGAGCAATTGAATCAATAACAGGCAGATGACATATTTTAGATGTATTAAACAAAAAGAAAGCAACTGGGCATTAGAAAAAGATTTGAAGCAGAAACCTATCTTCTCCACCACTAAATATGGATGCCTAATTCAAATTTTACCTCCACAAGAAAAGGCTAAGTGCATTTCCTACCAGTAAAGACGAATCTCTAGTTAAAATTCAATACAACAAGCAAAACAAAGCACCTTGAGAAGATGCCAAGTTATGGGCAGAAGAAGTTGGGCCTACCGGCCTAGTGGTCAATGAAGTGAGTGAGAACCATGAGGTCTCAGGTTCAAATCCCGGCGGAGGCAAAAGACACTAGGTGATTTCTTCCTATCTATCCAAGCCTTGGTGGATAGAGTTACCTGGTACCTATTGCTGGTGGGAGGTAGCAGGTATCCTGTGGAATTAGTTGAGGTGCGCGCAAGCTGGCCCGGACACCATGGTTATAAAAAAAAGTGGCAGTCGGTTTAAAGGAAAAGGAATATTACTGAAGATATTGAAACAAAGTTACAGAGGCATTGCACCCAAAAAGAGTTTATCACAACCACTAGTGATAGGAAAAGGTAAAGGGGAGTGATTCTACTATATCATCATGTTCAACAACTTTCTAGACAGAAATTTCCAGAACCATTAAGCTTCAAGTCAATAATATACATAACCTCATCAAATAAAATCAGTAAACAATTATTTGCTTTGTTGATTAAAAGCTAACTAGATACTGAAAGTAATCTAAACGGTTAGCTCCTAGCAGAAGATTGTCTAAACTGCAAACTAGTTGATCAGATTCTCAGAAGCTCTCCTAATTACTTCAGGATAAGACTGATATTTACATGAAGATAAAAGATAACAGAGTAGGAAAGAAGAAGAAAAGGCAACATGCTCAAGAAAAATTGCAATACCCTGAGAACGTAGAGGACAGACTTACAAGTATAATGGGCAAACTAGCTACAAGATGAGATTTTGACCTAGAAGCATTTTATTTATTATGTTGACTATGATTATGACCTAGAAGCATCTAATCCACAATGGTACAATAGTTAAAATATTATATCCCTATCTCACAGTAGATAAGACATAACTGTGAACCCTGAACATACAAGGAAAAAGAAACAGGATTTTGAAAGCCTACCTTTACTGCTTACAAGGAAAGCTAGATGTTGTACCGTGGAGAAGAAGAATTTGCTTGATGAAATGTCAAATTAACCTAAAGAAAGAATTACAGACAATAAATCATACCTTTTCTGCCAGTCCCTTCAAACTTGCAGGCTCAACATTGTCTTTTCCTTTCTCAAATAATTCATCGATTAACTTGCATAGCACAGCATTTTTGTTGACCTAAAAAGTCGTACTTATCAGGCTACTCATCAAGAAACACACAATAGTTCCCCTTCTACAAGATGACCATTCACACATTACATTCTTAGACCATGATAATACAGCAAACTCAGCATATATATCTCCACAGCAGGCAAACTGCTAATAAGCAACTTGATCTTCTGTGGTACTATACTTGAGAAGTTTAATACACTATTGGAAAATAAAAAAGAATAGAAGTGCATCAGCAGAGCTATGCACTTCATTTCTGTCATCAACACTGAAAAAGGACATTTGTTTACTAGTGTAGTTAGGTAGAGATGGAGCAAAATGACCGGATGAATATTAATCTCTTCATTTCTATTCAGGAAATATTCATATAACCCTATTCCTTACAATAGTTTCCAGTTTAGTCCTTTCTATTATGAACATCGGAAACAATAATAATCAACAATTTGCTTTGAAAGAGTTTGACCATAAATGTCCATTTGTTATTGATATAATAAGGGAATTAACTTTCGAATGACTAACCAAGCAATAAAACTCAAGTATGGAAAAGACAGTGAGCGTCAATGCAGGTATATGTTTCTTAAGATATACTATTAATTGTCTTTCTAAGGGTGATTTCCCAGCTATTTACACAAAATTCAAGTAGAATTGTAGTTTGTAAAGGACAGACAGTGATAATAAATGAAGCATGGAAATAAGGAGAGTTACAAGACGGACCAATTTACGACGCTTCTCCCGAGGGGAATTGAACTTGCGGACGGTTTTGACGAAGGCAATGACAAAAGTAATACCAAAGTAAGCCAAGGGAACCGTTAGAATCCATGGGAAGGAGGTCTGGCCGACCCTGGGCCCAGGAAGAGCCTGAGTCACAGAACCGGTGAATTCAACCAGGTCCAATGCTTTCTCCTGTATCCATGGAAGCTCCTCTTCTACCTCCTCTTCTTCCAACTCTTGTTGTTTCTCTTCTTTCCCTTTATCACTACTCACATTTGCGCCGCTGTCAATCTTTGCTGCGGTAGTGCGCAACGCTGAAAAGCTGCTTCTACTACTACGGGGAAAACTGAAAATTTTACTGTTGTTGGGAGGAGATAGGGTTTGAGAAGTGGAGGCTACACGGAGATCAGAAAAACGGTAAACTGTACAAGTAGAAGCGGCCATGGGAGACGCCGTTAGCCTCAAGTGATTGTGATTGTTGTTACGTTGCCGGCAGAGAAAGAGGAGTACTACTGTAGGACTCGGGAGGCTAATCCTCTCAGTGACGGCTGAACTTCACACGAGTCATGACCCTTTTTTTTTTCTTTTTTTCTTTTTTGGGTCCGGAGCTGTAGCATATCTAGCTAGCTTATTATGAATATTTCTTTGAATATAAATACTCCTAATTTACCATAAATGTTCAGAAATATTCTGCCTCCGCTGGTTGATTTTCTTAATCGTGTTATTAGAGGGTGTTTGGCTAAGCTTATAAGCTGGTCAAATTAGCTTATAAGCATTTTTCGTTTTATCTATGCGTTTGGTAAAATTAAAAGTGTTTATAAGTCAAGTGCTTATAATAAGTCAAAAATAGCTTATAAGCATTTTTCGTTTTATCTATGCGTTTGGTAAAATTAAAAGTGTTTACAAGTCAAGTGCTTATAATAAGTCAAAAATAAGCCAAAAGGCATAAGCTGGTCACCCCCAGCTTATGAATTTTTAGTTTATAAGCACTTTAAGTTTGACCAAGATTTTTACTATTTTATCCTTAAAATATTCTTTTTTAGAACATAACTCTTGCATCAATACTCACCGCCTCAAGTATTGAACTCCTACCCCCC